GGCAGCATCTGTGAAGAAAAGATCAGAGTTAACGTTTCAGGTCCGGTGACCATTCCCCAGAACCTGTTAAAATGGTATTGGTTTCTGAGACCACTCTCAATGTTTTAAACTCCAGTGAATACAGATCTAACTGATCCAGTCTCTTTTCATATGTCAGTCCCACTATACCAGGAATCAACCTCATGAACTTTCATTGCGCTCCTTCCATAGCCAGAACATCTTTCCTCAAAGCTGCACACAATACTCCCAAGTATGATCTCACCTGCTCCTGTACTTGAAACTTCTTGCTATGAAGGCGAACATACCATTTGCCTTCTTTACCACCTGCTGCACCTGCATGCTTACTTGCAGCGACTTGTGCACAAGGACACTCAAGTCTCATTGCATTTCCCTTTTCCCAATCTATCACCATTCAGATAATCTACCTTCCTGGTTTTGCCTCCAATATGGATAATCTCACATTTGTCTACCTTATACTTCATCTGCCATGTATTTGCCACACACTAAACTTGTCCTAATCACATTGAAGCATTTCTGCATCCTCCTCACAGTTCTTGCTATGTATTTTCTACAAAGGGAGTCTGGTAGGAGTTCACTAGACTGACATTGGGCATGGCAGGAGTGCCCTGTGAGGAACGATTGTTTGAAACGGACTGCATTCACTGGAGTTTAGAAGGATGAGAGGGGGATCTGATTGAAACCTACAAAATTCTAAGAGGGCTAGATCCAGATCCACCCAGCTTTGTGTTATCTGCAAACATGGAGATTTTACATTTAGTTCCCTCATCTAAATCATTAATATATATTTTGAATTGTTGGGGTTCACCACTAGATACACCACTAGACACAGCTTGCCACTGGAAAAAGACCCATTTATTCCTACTCTTTGTTTCCTGTCTACCAACCAGTACTCTATCCATGTCAGTACACTAATCCCAATCCCATGTACTTTAATACATTGAGTGACAGAATCTTGTGTGAAATACTGGAGGAACAGCTGCTCTCCAATCTTGTGTCTGTCTTTGCCAGATCATTGGATTACTGGGAAATAACAAATATATCCCCGCAGAATGTGTTTGAGCTTTTGCTAGCAAAGACACAGATGGAAAAATAGACAGGGGATTAATTTACCACATGACTGATGTGCGCAGTAACAACAGGGATTGTGTGTTTAGTTTCGGTCAGCTTAGCCCTTCAGTATCTGCAGTGACTATCTCAAAAATACTGCCACTTTCACCTGGGATTCATAACATGGAATTTAGGGCTTTTTAATTTGTTACTTGGTTTTGATAGGAAATCAATGGAGGACATGGTCCAGATATTACCAGGACGATAGCGTTCAAGTGGGACGGATTACAGGAAGATAGAAACCAAGAGCAGGAGTAGGCCATTTTGCCCTTCATGCCTGCTCTGCCATTCAATATGATCATGACTCATCCTCTATCTCACTGCCATATTCCTGCTTATCCCCCCGTGATGCCTTTAAAATCTAAAAAAATTAAAAATCTCTTTCTTGAATATATTCAAGGACATGGTCTCCACTGCTTTCTGTGGTAGAGAATTCCAAAGGTTCAATAACCCTTGAATGAAGGAATCTATCCTCATCTCAGTCCTAAATGGTCTACCCGTATCCTGAAACTATGTACCCTGGCTCTACACTCCCCCAGCCAGGGAAAATGTCCTCCCTGCATCTCGTCTATCCAGCCCTATTAGAATTTTATACATTTCAATCAGATCCCCTCTCATTCTTCTAAACTCTAGTGAATACATGTTCAGTCAAACTAATCTCTCCTCATAGGAGAGTCCTGCCATCTCTGGTATGAGTTTAATGAACCTCCACTGCACTCCCTTCCTGCAGTAAGTGATGAATGGATGAATGATTTATTTATTGTCACATATATTTAGTGAGATACAGTGAAAAGTGTTCTATTGCCACAACCCAGCACTACTTTGAGGTACAAGAAGAATAAAAGGAAGTACTTAAATAGAGTTCATCTTCATCTGCTGGGGTCCCAAACATGGCTCAAAGGCTTCTGCAAGGTCCCTGCTCTGGGTATACCTGCTCTAGGCATCAACACCACCACAGTCAATGACCCGCCGTCGCTGCCAAGAGTCTCTGTTCCGGGCCCATGAAGCCAGGAGTCCCCATTCTGCTATCTCTGCAGCTGATGCCCTGCTGCTATTCCAGGAGTCAACACATCAGCCCTACGAAGCCAGCAGTCCCTGTTGACACTGCTCCGACCTCTCTGCAACTTCAGGAAGACAAAGAAAATAGAAAGAAAAACCAAAAAGGAGAGAGAAGCACATCCTTTCTTAGATATCCTTAAGTATACTCAAATCTTCTTGCAATAAAGGCCAACATACCATTTGCCTTCCTAATTGTTTGCAGTACCTGCTTGTCTACTTTCTTTGATTGGCATATAAGGACACTCAGATCCCTCTGTAGATCCTCTGTAGATTCCCAATATGTCACCATTTAAATAATACTCTTCCTTTTGTTTTTTCACACTGAAGTGTATAATTTAACTGGCCACGTTGTAATGCATCTGCCATATGTTTGCTCACTGACCCAACTCGTCTACATCACCTTGAGGCCTCCTTGCATTCTCCTCGCAACTCACAATGTTGTCTACTTTCCTGTTTTCAACAAACCTGGAAATGTTGCATTTGGTTCCTTCATTCAGGTCATTTATATATATACATTGCGTTTAGCTGGACTGTAAGCATTGATTTTGCGGTACCCCACGAGTCAATGTGTGCCACTCGGAAGAAGACCCATTAGTTCCTGCTCTCTGTTTCCTGTCTGTTAACTAATGATTGATCAATGCTAATATATTCCCCATATCCTACGTGCTTTAATTTTGCCAACCAACCTGTTATAAGGGACTTTTCAAAAACCTTCTGAAAATTCAAAACCACCCATCCACTAGTTCTCTCTTATCTATTCGTGTGGGTTAACTCCAGAAGTCAATATAACAGCTCAGTATCTCAACTCAATTATGCTTCCAAGTTACATAACAGGTAAGTACTAACTCATACAGTCTCAGTAGCATGTAAAGTGACAAGCCATAAAGAGAAGTTGGAGGTCAATTAAATGGGTGGTGGATATAAATGTAGAATGGCATCTAGGTTGAACAATGCCTTGCTGGAATTACTGCTGGATGCATTCTGGAAGATGAGGGAAAAAGGATGGAATTTTCATCCCCAGGAGGTGGCAAGAGGAGAAAATAATAAAAATTGAAAACCCCCGAATGGCGAGTTTAAACACCAACCTGAACTGCTAAAATTCAAACCTTGGCAAACATGCTGCCCAATATTAATGGTGGAGAAAAGCTAAAAGCAATTTGTAAACATCTCAGTGAAGTTTCTCAAAGATGTGAATTATCTGCAACCACTATCCCAACTCTGCAATAACAAAAAACCCTGATGTCAACGAGTAAGTTTCTCACTAACATCTGAATGTATCTATGTAAAGCCCTGGACTGACCTGTGCCCCTGAGTGAAAATTTTTAAAAATGTTGTGAACTCATCTTCCCCCAAGCTACTTGTTCTGGGGAATTCTCTACAACATATAGAACATACATTTTGTTGTAAAGATTTGAAGTGGAGACATACCTGAGGGGAAAACAGAGTGTCCTGAGGAATGGATGGTACAATGAGAGGGAAAGGTGTCAAGATGTGGATTCATTGTCTTGGGAGAGAATCCAGAACTAATGAAACAATAATATCTCAGAAGATTATAAGACTGAAGGAGGTTACAGAGGTAGCAAAGAGCAATGTCACAAAGGCAACCGAACATCAGCATCAGAATTTAAACTTTGAGGTGTTACCAGGGCTCTGAGCACAAAGGTGATATGTGCTGATATAAGGACAGCAGAAATTTGAGTGACCTTAAGTTTATGGAGGGTGGAAGTTGGGAAACAGGCTAATAGTGTCTTTGAATAGTTGAGGTTGATATTAAGAAAAATAAGAATGGGTGTTTCAGGAACAGAAGGACTGAGATGGGTGGGCGTGAGTGATGTTAGAGGTATCATTATTTGTATTAGAATTTTTGTATTTGTATGAGTCTGCTCCCTCTCATGGACGTAAAAGATCCCAGTGCACGATTCCACAACTGGCATGGCTAAAAATGCTGCTCTAGTAGTCATTATCCATTCCCTTCTTCATTTTTGAAATCAACCCCACTCTACATTCATCAACTTCCTTCAGACATTTATGGCTGTACATTCTGCACCCATTTTGAATTATAATGCCTAACTTATTGCCTTGGTCTCCCAAAAGACCTTCCATGTGGCAATATTCTCATTCCTTTGTAGATCTAATGTCTTCATGACTCATAGCTTCGAACAACAGATGCTGCCTTTTGGAAAAGGTGTGGACATTCTTTGAGACATGCATTGTAAAATGTTCATGTATAATAATCTGATTGCAATACAAACCCAAGATCCCCCCCAGAGATCTTGGAACTTCCTCCAAAATACATAATGCTTTTTACCAAACAGACATAGCAGATTTGGCAGTATCTCTGGAGAGAGAAGCAGAATTAATGTCTTGTGTCCATTTTGATTTTTCTTCAGAACTTTACATCTTTTCAAAAATGATCAACAATTCTTAGAGGTTGTGTTATAGCTTGCATGACAACAGTCTGGTTTATACTGTGTCTTTATTGAACTGGCCACAGATGATTGCCTGTGGTGAGTGCCACCCAGTAATGGTCACTGACTACAGCAAGCCAGGAGGCACATTGGTACAGTATTGTATTTCTATTCTAAACATCCCCGTGTTTATACAAAATTAATGCATGCATTATCATTTGCCCCGAATTACATGAGATCCACTGTGCATACAACTGCTCTCATGCATCAACCATTGTTATCTCTGTCAGTCTCTGTACATGTACTGCACACAAAATCATGCTCAGCTGGTCATCTGTGTGAGGTTTCTTCTCTGGGGAGAGTTACCACACAGATGCAAGAACACATAGGAATAAAGTCACACACCTTTGACCATTCTCCTGTCCGCCACTTGTAGCAGTTTGTGTGGTCCTCGCACTCTTCCTCCTCATTGGGTTTGGTTGCAAGATCACACTTGCTTTGTGGACTGGTGCAGTTCACTGTCCTTAGATGAACTCCTCGACCACAGTCTGTCGAGCACTGCAGGGAGTTATTCACAGTTAATATTTCAATTCTTCTTCCACACATTCAATTTTTTCATTTTTTCATGTTCCCATCTGATTCTACAGAATTCAACACACTTTCAAGATTAATTTATCCATATAAACAATACATGGGACGTTCCTATTTTCAGCCAAAGCGTTTCATCAAATAAGATTCATGGCACCCAGTTTGCCATGGCTCTTCACCTCTGATGAAGAGTAATTTAAACTCGAAATGTTAACTTGCTTTTTCTCCATGGATGCTGCCTGACCCACTGTGATCTCCATGCTTTTGCCAGTTCATTGAATGAGCTATTCAGTTTGTCTCACTCCCTTGCTCTTTCCTCCAAATTCTTCCTGGGGGGAGATGATAGTATCGTGATAAGATCACTAGATGAATATTCCAGGATAATGTTCTAACATCCTTGGTTTGAATCCCACCATGACAGATGATGCAAATTGAATGCAATATAAACCTGAAATAAGAAACCTGAATTGCACAATGGTAACTATGTAAACATTGTCAATTATGATGTGTTTGTTAACTACCCTTAGGAAATTAGGGATGGGGGAAAAATTTCTTGTCTAGCCAGATGATGGCCACATCTAATGAACAAAAATATTAAAATAAAAAATCCAGTTCCCATTTTAAAGTTTCTATTAAATCTGCTTCCACTATGCTTTCAGACAGCATGTTCCAGTTCCTAACAGCACACTGGAGTTAAAAATAAATCTCATTTCACTTCTGGTTCTTTTGCAAGATTTAGTGAATGTGCAACAAATTCATTCCCTTCACAGAACACCATCTAAAACATTAACCTTGTTAGCTTCCTACTTCTAAGTGATGACCATCCTCTGTGTGTTTCAACAACTTAGGCTTTTCTTTAAGACTTTCAGAATATGTGATCTGTTTTTATCTCAGTAACCTGTCTTGAATTAACTCCTCTCTAAAACAGACACGATGCTGGAATCAGCATCAGATTGCAGTACTTGGCTAATGCAGCTTTGAAAATCTGCCAGTCTTAGCCTTGGTACACAGTCTGATATTGAAACAAGAAGCTGTCGCTCAAACTGCACCTAATATCATTAAAACTTCATTAGTGAATGTCCTACACTGCAGTTCCTAAAGGGGAATAAGGATTAATGGCAGTGACAGATAAAGCACCTTGTTTCTCACATGCCTTAAACTGAGAATAAAATAAACATTAGCACAAAAACCTCTTGGAAATTTCAAGCTCATCTTCGTTGTTGACTAACTTCATTAAAAACATCGACGGTCAAATGTTAGTCAATTGTAGAGCTAACAGAGGTTTTAACACTGTGAGCTGTATTTTCATATGGATTACCGACACAGGTATGAGACGGCAACATATCAAAACATAGTAATTATCAAATCAAATTGAAAACTAAAAAAGAACCTGAAATATAAATTCAAGTAAAGGACTGGACATATTCTGTATGAAATTTGGCATTTTTACATTTGAATATAAACAGCAAAAATTCAACAGCGGTTTCAGCAAATGAGCTGTTCATTGCACAGTGGCCCAAAACTCCAGCTCTCATCCCAATCTTCAAAACCCTCCACTGCCTTGCCTGTCCCTATCTCTAAGGAGAATTTATTTCTTAGTGTTACAATTCAAACCACTGAATTCTCTGTTGCTTTTATTCTGGCCTCTTGAGCAACTTCAACCTCCATATGTCCAACCAATGGATACCACACCTTCACTTGCCTAGATCTTATGAATAATGCTTTCCATTTTCACCTCCTTTTCATCTTATAATAACCTCAAATCCTATGTCTTTGATCAAGACTTTGTTCGCTTGGCATTTTGTTTCAGAAACAAAGTGCCTTGGAATTATTTTCTAAATTTTTGGTGATTCATAAAGGTAAGTCAAAGTGGTGATGAGCAGTGTGAATTCTTCACAGCCAAAACTGCCTTTATGTTGTTCTAAACTCTGCAGCCTTTGTGGAGTAGCTCGATCACAGTTTTCACACTGGTTTCTCACTGGCTGTTTCTGCTGACACTGATATTAACAAGGCAGCAGAACATTCTGGAGGGGTATCATTACAGATCATCCTGAACCTTAAGGCCATGCTGGCTGCAATTCTCCAATCATGTTTCAAAGCACTGAAGTAACCCCAATGATGCAGTAGCAGAAATATCCGTGCTCCAACATAAATGACCAGGTTCAAGTGTGACATTCAACCCGGGCACATTATTCTAATTTGCCATCAGGTCGCTGAATCCCAACCTATTTCTTAATATGACACATTGCTTAATACACAATCAATAAAAAAAATTTCCTTTCTATATTCAGAGATAGTAGGAACTGCAGATCCTGGAGAATCTGAGAAAACAAGGTATAGAGCTAGATGAACACAGCAGGCCAAGCAGCATCAGAGGAGCAGGAAAGCTGACATTTCAGGCCTAGACCCTTCTTTCTATATTCATATCTCTTTGTTTAGAGTGTTTCCAGGGAATTCTATAAATTGGAGTTTGTCTTATAAAGGCTAATTGACACAGTGTGGAGATGCATTTACAGTTATATTTGGTACACATTTAGCAATAAAGCTATTTTGTACTTTGACTTCTCACTAAATCTTTATCTATCCCATTAAATTCAGTATTGGAGGAGAAGACTGATTGGAGAAATACATTTGTACATAGTGTACTGGATGCCTTGCTGTAGTCATGTGACTTCTATCTCTGCTGTAAGTGTTTTCACTATCATTTCTGGTAGCCATTAAGCACATTACATGAAGCATATCAATAGTGTCCAGCTAAAATGGTATGGATTTTCAGTGCTGTAAGGCAGTCAGCTACTCTAAAAAAAGGAAATATTAAAGCTGGAGTCCACATGTTTGAAGTATTGGGTGAGTCAGAAAGGGTTTGTATTTTCCGCTTCTGGTGCTATGGAAATGAAAGGAGATTTGAGAGATTTGGTTTTTTTTCCACTTTCAATGGTAAAACTATGAAATAGCTATAAAATGGAATAAAAAGACTGAGCAAGTAAGAGTAGTAACCCTGTTAATCAGTGCTGGGACAAAATTGCTACAAGCTATGTTACAGACTAGATCTCAAAAAGTAGTAGAGAACTCAGACAGGTAAGGTTTTGAAGACATACTTTGAATGTTATTTATTAACGGTATATGTTTAACATCAGGGCTCTGGGGGACAGGAAGGCTTTTTATTAAAATGTGATAAATTTAGCTGATACCTGTGAATTTGGACAATTGGAAGATAACCTCAACAGAGATAGGAATCTTCTGGGAGTAACTGACCTTGTTATGAGAATACAAACAACTTGTCAAGAAAGTCATCGACTTATGCAGAAGCTCTGAGGTTGTAAATCATCAGCTAGAACATACTGGGGGAAAATAGACAAGGCTTTGTATATGCTGAGAGATATTCCAAGGTGAACAACATATTGAAAGAAAGTGCAAAATAGTTGCAGAACAGCCAGCAAAGAGAGGTATCAGAGATGGTCCAGGTGAACTTAAGGTTGGGGTGGAAGGTGTTGGTGAAGTTGATGAACTGTTCGAGCTCCTCGTGGGAGCATGAGGTGGCGCCGATACCTCTCTCTCCTTCCTGGACCTCTCTATTTCCATCTCTGGCAACCACCTGGAAACCGATATCCATTTCAAGCCCACCGACTCCCACAGCTACCTAGAATACACCTCCTCCTACCCACCTTCCTGCAAAAATGCCACCCCCTATTCCCAAGTCCTTCGCCTCCGCTGCGTCTGCTCCCAGGATGAGGCATTCCACTCCCGTACATCTCAGATGTCCTCGTTTTTCAAGGACCGCGACTTCCGCCCCTCAGTGGTCGAGAACTCCCTCGACCGTGTCTCCCGCATTTCCCACAACTCATCCCTCACACCCCCTCCCCACAATAACAACCAAAACAGAATCCCCCTCATCCTCACGTACCACCCCACCAATCTCCGGATCCAACGCGTCATCCTCCAACACTTCCGCCATCTGCAATCCGACCCCACCACCAAAGACATTTTTCCCTCCCCACCCTTATCTGCTTTCCAGAGGGACCACTCTCTCCGGGAGTCCCTTGTCCGCTTCACACTCCCCTCCAGCCACACCACACCCGGCACTTTTCCCTGCAACCGCAGGAAGTGCTACACCTGCCCCTACACCTCCCCCCTCACCCCTATCCCAGGCCCCAAGAAGACTTTCCACATCAAGCAGATGTTCACCTGCACATCTGCCAATGTGGTATACTGCATCCGCTGTACCCAGTGTGGCTTCCTCTACATCGGGGAAACCAAGCGGAGGCTCGGGAACCGCTTTGCAGAACACCTACGTTCAGTTCGCACTAAACAACTGCACCTTCCAGTCGCGAACCATTTCAACTCTCCCTCCCATTCCTCAGATGACATGTCCATCCTGGGCCTCCTGCACTGCCACAACGATGCCACCCGAAGGTTGCAGGAACAGCAACTCATATTCCGCTTGGGAACACTGCAGCCCAATGGTATCAATGTGGAATTCACAAGCTTCAAAATCTCCCCTCCCCTGACCGCATCCCAAAACCAGCCCAGCTTGTCCCCGCCTCCCTAACCTGTCCTTCCTCCCACCTACCCCTCCTCCCACCTCAAGCCCCACCCCCATCTCCTATCTACTAACCTCATCCCACCCCCTTGACCTGTCCGTCCTCCCTGGACTGACCTATCTTCTCCCTAACTCCCCATCTACACTCACCTTTACTGGCTCCATCCCCACCGCTTTGACCTGTCTGTCTCCTCTCCACCTATCTTCCCCTCTCTCCATCTTCTATCCGCCTCCCTCTCTCTCCCTATTTATTTCAGAATCCCCTTCCCCTCCCCCATTTCTGAAGAAGGGTCTAGGCCCGAAACGTCAGCCTTCCTGCTCCTCTGATGCTGCTTAGCCTGCTGCGTTCATCCAGCTCTACACCTTGTTATCTTTGAAGAAATCTCATCATTTCATGCCCAACATTGAAAAAAGTTTACCATTTCTTGTC